CAAAAAGGTTACAGCTACTTTGCAGATACGGTCTTCAAGCTTGCAAACATCTTGGACTTCTGTGCCTATAAAAGCAAGTCTTCAAAAACATTCTAAAGTTGACTATTATTGAAAGAAATTCATTGAAAAGCTCTCATACAAATTATTCTCTTTGCTGAATTTATTTCATTCGTTCTTAAACTTAAGTGTAAATCACAATTGTGATATAGCTTTCTTAGAAGCATTCAAACACTTGTTTAGTTTTACATTTGATTGTAAAAGTTCCTTGAGAAGACCCAGTTGTGGTCAATAGTTCTTGAGAAGACTAAGAACAATTGCTCTTAGTGGTTGCTATTGTAATCAGTTTGATTAATAGTGAGTTAAGTCCTTGTGGAGAAAGGCAAATCACTCTTGATAGGGTGGACTAGAGTAGTTGAGTTCAACGAACCAGGATAAAAATCTTTGTGTTTTTATTGCCATAATAATTTCTATATACTTATTCAACCCCCCTTCTAAGTATTTTCTCACCTTCATGTTGGCTTTGGTAGCTTCGTCTTTCATGAATGTTGTTGAACTATTACTGTACAACTGACCAGATTGTAATACTGAACCCCACTTCATAACCGATTCCCTGCTTGACAAGACAATACTTTGGCTACCATTTGCACTCTGTTTACAGTAACCGATTCCCTGCATGCCTACCAATTCTATGCAGACCTACGAGATTCTTACTAAAAAGAATAGTAACATTAAAAATATTATGTTTACATTTATTAACCCAATATTATTATTAAAATATTATAATTAAAAATATATTAAACCTAATAACGAGTAAGTTTTAATATAAGACGCAACTGAGTTTATTTGCCCTAATAACGAGTAAACCTAAAATTTTTGCTATGAAAATAAAAAAAACAGGATAAATAAGAAGAAGAGGTTGAAAATTAGACAGAATATTGACAAGACTAAACCTGCAGCATGCTTGACAAGATTAAACCTGCACACCTCCCTTAATGCATGTCACATGCATGCCTGACGACACTCTGCATGCATGACAACACCACAACATGCACTTTTAAGACAAGACTAAACCTGCACGCCTCACATGCATGCTTGACACTTGCTCTGCATGCATTTACAGGTCACATGCATTATTGGCACTTGCTCTGCATGCACTTACAGGTCACATGCATTATTGACACTTGCTTTGCATGCATTTACAGGTCACATGCATTCGTGGATTATAAAAAGAGGTTCTTTAACTCTCAAACTCTTCTCATCCCAACAAACTCTTCTCATCCTCATACTCTCAAACTCTTCTCATCCCAACAAACTCTCTCATCCCAACTCTCAAATTCTTCACCCAGCAAACTCTTCTCATCCCAACTCTAAAACTCTTCTTCACCCAGAAAATTCTTAAACCACAATGTCTCTACTCACAATGGACAAATCTCACAGAGGCACAGTTGAGAACATCGCGGAGTTTATAAGTATTTTTTTGTCTATGTTTACGATCTTTAGTTCTCCTTTAAAACTAACAACATTTAATTTCTTTTGTAGGATGCATCAAGGTTTCGTTGTCGTGTGCATGACTACATACCACACGACCCTTTCATAGAGGGATACCTTGAAGCATGTGGGTTTGGTGATTTGATTAAAATCAAAACATACTCACTTGATGCCAAGTTCATTCTAGCGTTGTTAGAACACTGGAGACCAGAGACACATACATTTCACCTACCTTTCGGTGAGTGTATTGTAACTCTTCAGAATGTTTACATGTTGCTTGGCCTACACATCAACAGTAAGACCGCCAATGGCAAAGTTGGTGTTAACGACCAACTTTGCAAAGATTTATTGGGCGCCCCTCTTTGTGTCGACACAACTGAAGCAGAACGCGAGGGTCGCCTAAGGGGTCAAGGTATAAATCTTAAATACCTTAGACAACACTACAACAGTATTGTCTTAAGTGAGGAGTCCATCGAGTATGAGAAAATACTCAAAACTTGGTGCTATATTATGATTTTGTTTGGTCATTTTTTATTTCCAGAGGGCACTGTAAATATTATGTATTTACCGTTGCTATATAACATAAACAAAGTGTGTAAATATAGTTGTGGATCAACTGTCCTCGCTCATCTATATAGTGCACTGTGTAAAAATGCAAAAAAAAATCATGTACTTTTTATGCCTGCGCCTATCTCTTTCAAGCGTGGGGTTGGTCTAGGATGCCAACGCTTGCTCCAGTCAACCGTAATCCATTTACATTCCTATATGCTAACAAGTAAGTTTATTTTCAAGACTATTTTACAATCAAAGTTTCTTTGTAACTTAATAATTTGTAAGACGTGTCTTAAAGTCTAACTTATCCGTGTTTCTTTTTTTTAGGTGGTCTGTTCCGGGGATGAATTATCAAAGATATCCCAGGAACTCCATAATCGTGTACCGCAACCTCATCGAACACATTGGGCCAAATGATGTAATTTATCTACTTTTACTTTGTCTAACTTATATGCATAAACTTGTATTTCTCATTGTGTATATTGTTATTGTAGTTTGTCTGGATGCCGTACGAGGGTCTCGACCACCAGCCCAACGCCGATGATGCTGCTGTGTGGACATCCAAAACACCCATCATTAGGTTTACTACGGTGAAGATGCACCAAAGTGACCGGGTGAAGCTACAATTTGGGATGCATCAGGATATTCCAGATGCTCCGACGTCATTGGGACAATGGCATCAACAACGGGTGGATTCACAATGGAGTGTCGGTCATTGGAAGGAGTTTGCGAAGGAGATGTGTCAGCATTGGAAGAACAGAAGGCAACATATCTTAACCGACAATATTGTGGAATGGGCTAGGCCAAGTTATCAATATATGACTTGGTTTAGATCGGTTACACCATCACAACCATTTATGTCTGAGCCGACCTATTTGATTGACCCAAGGCAACGTGCTTCTTCCTCAAACACACAACAACAATCCAATGCCCAACATCCACAACAACATCCTTACCATGACCCGTACATGCCACCAACTCAACCACAACATCAACAACCATACCAATATAGCCTTGATACGCCTTTTGACCCTACCCCTCCACCTATAGCCTAGATAACTCATTTGACCCTACCCCCTCCACTTATCCACTGTTTGACTACCAAACTCCATAACAACCAACACATCGTTTCCAACCCGACTCGATGTACGAATTCGGACAACCATATCGTCCATACTCCACCCAACCTCCCCGACAATCCTACGAACACATGGGCATTGAGCTTAACTACGGAAGTGCCGTTGATAGTGGACCTCCCGGCTATTGGGGTCAAATGCTTCAAAATTTATCTAATACGCCGGGGCCGTCCCAACAAATACCTCTTCCACAACTCAACACCCAAAGACCGGACACACCTCAGCAATCTCGTGGTAGACCTCGTCGTCGCGCGCAACCTCCACAATGTGGTACCGGTGGTCATTTAGATAGAGCCGACCATTAGTTTTTTTTATCAAGTGTAATTTATATTCAATTATAAATTAATATATTTTACTATTTATTCCATTTATTTTTTTTAAAATTATTTAAATTTTAATTAATTATGAAAAACAAAAAATATAATTTACTATTTATTTCATTTATTTTTTTTACATTATTTAAATTTCAATTAATTATGACAAACAAAAAATATAATTTAATATTTATTCCATTTTTTTTATTTTATTTAAATTTTAATTAATTATGAAAAATAAAAAATTAATTTACTATTTATTCCATTTATTTTTTTATAGATTATTTAAATTAAATATGAAAAACAAAAAATATAATATTAAGGATCAAAAATACAAAAAATATAAAAAAAAAAAATACAAAAGAAAATGCGCAAACCCTAACTGGAAAAAGAATAAAATGAAAATGGGATGATTCGCCAATCCAATTGACGAATCCATTCAAAATGATAAACAAAATCGCCAGCCCAAATGGCGAATGCTTGTGAAATGACCTGAGTCGCCAATCCAAATGGCGACCCAAGGTTGAAACCTAGCCATTTTCGTAATTATTTTTAATTCTTAATTTAATTGATATTTTTTTTTGAATAATCTAGTTATTCTAAAAAAAAGAAATCTAGAGTAGTTGAAAAATGTAAAAGTTAGTAATATATTGATGATACTAATAGAATATTCTGGCCTAATAAATCTTACTAAAAGTCCAATCAAAACTATTATCAATAATACTGAAATTAACAATAATAAAATTAATATTTATAACATAAAGTGTTCCATCAAATTTCAAAACTAATGCTGCCTCCATCTTTTCAGTCATCGTGGTTACAAATAAGCCACAGTTAATTTTTATTGTTTTGTAATATCAACCCTCTAAGAGCATCTTTAGTGGGAGTAAACTAAATGGGTAAACTAAGATACTTTTTGTGGGACCAAAGTGATTTGTAGGATTTAAAAAATTTATAGTTGATTTGAGTAGTTTTTACTTTAATGGTGGTTGTCTATAAGAAACCAAAACTTGACCCCACATGGTATTAAATGGTTAATAAAAATCTATTATTTATGTTAAATAATTAATAAAAATTTATTATTTATGTTAAATAATGAGTTAGAGTACGTTACTTGTGTAGAACACGTAAACTAGTTTTAGAGCATCCCATATGCCATGTCAACACTACTATAATGCAAATTCCTTATTACTAACGTAAGCTATAAAGAATTTTGGTTTAACAACCTTGCACTAAAGTTGCTCTAAGTGTTTCGTTTCTAAAGATAAAATGTGTTATAAATGGCCGTAGCCAAGGGATCTCGAACAGAGAAATATAGCCAGACTTTCTAGTTCCTACTATCTTACAGCCAAAAGTAGAGTCACCACCATTTGTAGACAATTACTTGCAGGCAACATCATATGCTGCTGTATCCAAAAGAAACATACTGTAGGCATCTTAGCATTATACTTTACATACAACAAACAAAAGAAATATTAGTAGAAAAGAACCACTTGTTTCTACCAATTAACTAGTAATACTGATTCGAAAATTCAAGTATGGCAAAAGAGATTCCTTTCTTAAATGAGTACAGCTTCTCTTTAAATTCTTCAATGGCCTTAGATTTAACCAACTCTGGATGATCAAAGGAGAAACTCATCCTCTCAAGCACTGTACCATTTTCCATTAAATATTTAGCTAATAAAAACTCATGCTCGTATCCACGGACATATCCAAATTTCACAACTTGGAAAGTGTATGTCAAACAATCTGGCACAGCAGCAGAGTTAAGAAGCTCATGGTTGAATTCCAATATTTCCTAATCATTTGTAATCAAACAAAGTCTAAATAAGACAAGATATAAAGGTTAAACTATAATAAATAAAGAAAGAAAGAAACTAATTACTGACCTCGAATACTAAAGTATTGAGAACAGGACACTTTTGAATTAAGCACAACAAAACTTCAACACTAACCAAGCCAAGTTCCAAATAGCTCAACATTGCAAATTTAGGTACAGGTGCGAGATTTGGTTGTATCCAAAACTGGATGACAAAATTAGAGAAACAGGCTTATCACATATTATACATTGTTCATATTTTGCTATGTGGTTAATGATCTTCATTAAACATAATTATGTATTAGAACTGCATTAACAATGTAATAAAACTCATGTGTATTCGAACTTACCTTATATACCTCAAATTTGATCCTCTTTACTTTACTAAATTGCTTGAGAAGGAGATAGACACACGATTCAGATCCTTGAACGATATTCCTATTATTACTCAAAGTGATGCTAACAGTAGCATTGCAAGCTGAAGATGGATCTGACAGAACAACTGGAGTGGCTTTCTGTAGTTGCCAATAAGAGATTGGACTTTTAGAATGGTTTGCCAGACGGGAACTGGACTTTAAAATGGTTTGCCAGACGGGAACTGGACTTTAAAATGATTTGTCAGACGAGAACTGGACTTTAAATGATTTGCCAGGCGGGAACTAGACTTTAAAGGATTTTTCAGGCGGGAACTGGACTTTAAAGTATTTGCCAGACGAGAGCTGGACTTTAAAGTATTTGCCAGACGAGAGATGGACTTTAAAGGATTTGCCAGACGAGAGCTGGACTTTAAAGGATTTGCCAAACAAGAACTGGACTTTAAAGGATTTGCCAGACAGGAACTGGACTTTAAAATGATTTGTCAGACGGGAACTGGACTTTAAAATGATTTTCCAGACGGGAACTGGACTTTAAAGTATTTTCCAGACGAGAACTGGACTTTAAAGTATTTGCCATACGAGAGCTGGACTTTAAAGTATTTGCCAGACGAGAGCTGGACTTTAAAGTATTTGCCAGACGAGAGCTGGACTTTAAAGGATTTTCCAAACGAGAGCTGGACTTTAAAGGATTTGCCAGACGAGAACTGGACTTTAAAGGATTTGCCAGACGGGAACTGGACTTTAAAGGGTTTGCCAGACGAGAGCTGGACTTTAAAGGGTTTTCCAGACGAGAACTGGACTTTAAAGGTTTTTCCAGACGAGAGCTGGACTTTGGAAGTTTAATTTCGGTTACGAAGCTCTGACAGGTATCAGGTCCAGGTCGTGGGGATGAAACCCAATGACAGGGAGGCCCTTTCAGAAGGATAAGGTTATTTGATGGGGTGATGGCATGATTCCCCGACACTCAACTCTTGCTGACGAGAATAAGCTTGCTTGAGTAACTGCCCCAGTGTAGCTCAACTTGCCTCAGTGTGGGTCTATGAAGAAATTTTCCTTGAACGGAAATTGGAAGCAGTCGTACCATGAGATGAACTCGAGATGGCTTGCCCCAGCATTCCAAGTCGTGAAAGGAAGTTGGAAACAGTTGTACCATGAGATGAACTCGAGATGGTTTGTTCCAAAATTCCAAGTCATGAATGGAATTCGGAAGCAGATATACCATGAGATGGTCTCGAGATGGTTTGTTCCAAATTTTAGTCAGGAAGGGTTTTGACCTTGATTAACTGACCCTTGGGGTAATTGGCTTCAAATTATTCTTGAGGTAGTCTGCTCCAGAATGAGCATTGAAGTGACATGACTAGTACTGATTGAGCGTTGGAGGGACTCTCCCTTAATCAAAAGAAACTCTGGGTAGCCTGCCTCTAGTCGGATCTTTTGCAGAAGTGGTATACTCGTTTTGGTAAGAACCTAGCTTCTAGCTGATATATCATGACATCTTACAAATGTTGAGCGGAGCGACTTATCCAAAGCATATTGACTGCGCGAGCATAGCGATTTAACCATGTGTTAGTATGAGCGTAGCGATTTAACCAATGCATATGGATTGCGTGAGCGTAGCGACTTAACCAATGCATGTTAGTCGTACTTTTGCTCAGCCCTAAGGCTTTTGACGCTTGTTGACCTCAACCGTTGCCGATCTATGGCATGGACAGCTTGACCAATTTGAAAGCATAAAGGGAAATGACCCGTGTTCAACTAATCTGCCCCAGTTCAAATGGCCTGCCCCTGTCTGCCGAGTATTTGGAGGATTCTTATGGGATGAGAACTTTGGCGGTGATTATACCAGGATAGGGCTTGAACCTATTTGCTCCAGTGCCTGAACCTTGTAGCAGTTTGCCCCTGTTTAAACCTCAGAAGGACTTGCCCCAGATTCGCAGGGTTATGGGAAAGTCTTGATTCAGGTCAACACCAATGAGTGATCAAGTTCCTCTTTGAGTGCACTTTGTTGGAATTTCTATAGTGTCAAGCAGTTTAAAATTGTTCATTCAAAAAATGGTAATTTTAATGCGACATTCATGTAAGTTTTGAAAATATCATTTATTGGGAATGATGTGAAAGTGTGTGACGAGTGGATCATTAGTCCAAACGTAATGCTGATTCACTGGTGTGAAAGATATAGAAAGAATATGACACCAATACATAAGATTAGCAAATATGTAGGAGTCAGTTTACGCAACCTTGTTGTAGTTATGCTTTCAGAATAAAATTCCACCTCAATTAGGTCTTTTGAGGGTTGTATCATGGTCTGGTTGACGGTTATAGAAACAAAGAATATTGGGCTCAAAGTATTATTTGTACCCACCCCTTCTTCGTGATGGTCTCCAGTCCTATATTCAGTTAATTTCTACATACGCACTTAGAGCTTGACGGTGTAAGCTTAACGATTCAAGGTATTGCTCGAAATAGCAGTCACCCTTATTTTGTTTTTTGATGGATGTCAGTGACCCTTTTGGTTCTTGATATGGTGGCCACTGAATCTTATTTGTTTTGTTTTTTTTTGTTGAGGATTTGAGGGCCTCTTTTGTTTTTTTCTTTTTGATCCCTAACTTTTGCCTGGACTAATTTTGTTTTTCGAGTCCATCGGGATTGCCTTTATTTTTGCCTAAGTCTCCTTTTGAGGTGTTCGACTTAGAAGGCTTTTGATTTTTTTGGATTTTGCTGTGACTGCCATGTCATGAGTCGTTAAAGAACAACCGTCTTATGGATTTTGCTTTGTTGGTTTGAATGCGGGATTTGATTAACTGAACACTACCCTTGCCCCAGGTTAAGTGTAAGGGTTTGTAGATCCGAAGGAAACTCCTACTTCTAGGCTCGAAGTGGTTAACTAGGGACTAACTCCTTATCTCTTCAATGTTTGGGAATTTGAAGCAATGCATGTACATCATCGGTGAGATTTTATCCAAAAGCATACTTATCAGCAATTATGGGTATTTCGTTTTCGTCATCCTCCCTCAAATCTTTGCTAAACAGCGGTGCGGTAAAGGAAGTGAAGTGAAATATTTTTGTGATTTTTTTTTGTGATAAACTAGAAAATGTGAGTGAATACGAATGAATTTGTTCAATACATGCATAATTATCACATTAACAATACCATTAATAAGAAACAATGTCTAAAAGCAAGTAGCACTTAACATAAAAGAAACTACAAATGCGCAAAAATGATATGGAAATTGTCAGTATTGAGGAACTGGGCTCTTCTTTCTTGCTTCACAGTTGGGCTAACTTTTGGGAGTTGTTTCATCTTTTTGCTTCTGCGTTGTTCTCGTCTTTTCTCAGCTCAACTTGATTCTACTTCAAGCGTTCCATGGTCTTCCAACACTATTTCAAGTCCAATACGTGTGTCGGGAAATCAACCTCGGATTATGGACAAAGGATGGATGAGCTTTCTAGTTTTGGAAGATGATATGCAATGCAAATAAAATGCGAATGCAATGGTATGCAAATGTAATGCAGGCGCAAACAGGATCACAGGTTCAATCACGCTATGAGGTCAGATAGAACAACGGGTAAATAACAGATATCTCCGATTAAAGGAACCCCATAGGTAGGCTCTAAACGGGTAGGTTCCTAGAGTCATGGATCTTTTCAAAGATATTTTTACCATGACAAAGACTCGTCTGATAATAATACCCTCGAAGGATCTCCTCTAGGTGAGGTTTTCATGTCGTCCCACGAGAAAGACTCCTCGCGAGTCTCTACTACACAACCATCGAGTCCAAGGTTTCTTAAAGGGACCTCAGAGTCATAGATCGAGGTTGAAAATATCATTGTCAGAATAACGATACGTTCAAGGGATCTCATCTGATTGGGGCGTTCGCATCAACCCAAAAAGGAGTGACCCTCATGAGTTAACACTACCAACCACCATGATTTGAGGGTAAAAGGTCCTTAGAGTTATGGATTCAACCTCAAAACACTACTGCCATGGCAAAGACTCACCACAACAATAACATCCTTAAGGAAATCAACTCTAAGCAGGGCTTTCGCTTCCTCCCAACGAGAAAGACTCCTCGAGGGATTCCACTACACAACCACCATTCTAATCCTATGTTTTTTCTCGGACTCGGGTGTAGAGCCATCTCACAAAGTTCCCACAATCAGAGAACCCCAACAGTGTCACAGGAATAACAATAAGATATATAAAAACAAATAAGCAATTAAATAACAAATAAATAAAACAAGCAAACAATAGAAGAAGATTCACAAACAAGCGGATCCAACTCTTGCGAATCGAGTCAAGTTAGGCTTGATTCTCTCTAGCATAGGGCTATGCATGTCCCCAGCAGAGTCGTCATCTGTCGTACCTCGAAAAATACGATCCTCGCGATGGACGCGGAAAATACGTTCGAAACAGAGTCGCCACCGAACTTTATTCATTCCGAAGATGGAATAGGAAAATATCGATAAAACCTTTAAGGAGATAAGAACATGGTCATCGCAACCAATATTCTAGGTTCGGGAGTCAGTTACATGAGGGGTGCTATGTATTAGTGTGTTTTTGTTGCAATTTTATAACCCTACTTTTACTTTTAAAAGAACATCCCCATTAGTTGCATAATCAGATTTGATGTACTTGCATCATGTTGTTCATGCAACCCTTTGTTGGTTTGTTTCCCAACCTTCCAATTGTGTTTGTCATTTTCCATTAGAGCATCTTTAATTTTGTTTCCCAACCTTCCAATTGTGTTTGTCATTTTTCATTAGAGCATCTTTAATAGGAGTAAACTAATTGGGTAAATTAAGATATTTTTTGTGGGCCCAAAGTAGTTTGTAGGATATAAAAAATTTATAGTTGATTTGAGTAGTTTTTACCTTAATAATGGTTGTCTATAAGAAACCAAAACTTGACCCCACATTTTATATTTTTTATTCAAGTTACCATTAATTTAATACTGTTGAAATATTTTATTAATATTAAATAATATTATAATATGTTTCACATTGAATAGTTAACGTTAACTATATAGATAATAGAAACTAAATTTTAGTTCACTAAATGTCATGTTAGCTCTACTATAATGCAAATTCTTTATTACTAATGCAAGCTATACAAAATTTTGGTTTAACAACCATGCGCTAAAATTGCCCTTCTGCAATTATCTTTTTCTCTTCTCCAAATAGATAAAAGCTGATTGGTCTATTATTTTCCATTATAAAGATAAAATGTGTTATAAATGGCAGTAGCCAAGAGATCTCGAACTGATGTTAAATATTTTTTTTATTGCTAATTAGTTCGAAGGCTACTTAATTTGTTGTTTGTTTGTTGAGCTCAGCCGAATTCTTGTATCTGAAATAAACATGTTACATGCTAACTTTTTGGTCCTTTTCATACATATTGCAGACACCCCAGTTACATTATTTTTCTAGAACAGAGAAATATAGACAGACTTGCTAGTTGCTACTATCTTACAGCCAAAAGTATAGACAATTACTTGCATGCAACATCATATGCAAGAAACATATTGTAGGAATCTTAGCATTATACTCTACATACAACAAGCAAAAGAAATATGGTAGAAAAGAACCACTTGTTTCTACCAATTAACTAGTACTAATAATCATAGGAAAATTCAAGTATGGCAAAAGAGATTCCTTTCTTAAATGAGTACAGCTTCTCCTTAAATTCTTCAATGACCTTAGAGTTGGACTTACCCAAAGGTGCATCGGCAAAGGAGAAACTCATCCTCTCGAGCACTGTACCATTTTCCATTAAATATTTAGCTAATATAAGCTCATGTTCGTCTCCATGGACATCTCCAAATTTCACAACTTGGAGAGTGGATGCCAAGCAATCTGGCACAGCAGCAGAGTTACGAAGCTCATGGTTGAATTCCAATATTTCCTAATCATTTGTAATCAAACAAAGTCTAAATAAGACAAGATATAAAGGTTAAACTATAATAAATAAATAAAGAAACTAATTACTGACCTTGAATACTAAAGTATTGAGAACAGGACACTTTTGAATTAAGCACAACAAAACTTCAACACTAACCAAGCCAACAAGTTCCAAATAGCTCAACATTGCAAATTTAGGTACACTTGCGAGATTTGGTTGTATCCAAAACTGGATGACAAAATTAGAGAAACAGGCTTATCACATATTATACATTGTTCATATTTTGCTATGTGGTTAATGATCTTCGTTAAACATTATTATGTATTTAGAACTGCATTAACAATGTAATAAAACTCATGTGTATTCGAACTTACCTTATATACCTCAAATTTGATCCTCTTTACTTGACTAAATTGCTTGAGAAGGAGACAGACACACGATTCAGATCCTTGAACGATATTCCTATTATTACTCAAAGTGATGCTAACAGTAGCATTGCAAGCTGAAGATGGATCTGACAGAACAATAGCTTGTGACAAATCATCACCGCGATAAGTGAATTCTTTCAGATTTGAATCAGAAAATTTGATTTTGCAGAGACGTGGCTGGTCAATTAGTGACATATAGTCTTGTGTTATGTAAACACTTTCAAGTAGAGGTGCTTTTAGTTCTAAAGTGACATCGTGTGCACTTAACCATGAGCAGTTATGTGTCTCAAACTTTTTCAATACTGGAAAAACAATACCTTGAGATTTGTCAACTGTAAATACAACTCTAGACAGCTTGAGTAGTTTTAGATTTGTAAAAAGAAAAACACCATAAATCTTATAGAGTGGGATTTTGATTCTGATAGCAGCAAAATGACTCGTAGCGAGTACCAATTGTTCTAAACAAGTGGCATGATTGAAAAGGTAGTGAGATGTAAGAGCAGAGAAGAGAAGACCTTCACGCAAAGAGATAGAAAGTCTTCTTACCCTTTTCTTCAAGATGTAAGTGATCAAGGTATTTAGAAGGGTTAGATCATGTTTGCTAGTAATAACAAGAGAAAAACTTTCCATACTGTGACTTCCGGTAAAAAGAAGTACTCTGTTGACAAAGTTTATGAAGCACTGTTTTTCACTTGAACTTGATTTCTTCTTCTTGGAAGAATATAACACGCTATCATTCAATTCCACCTTAGTGATTAATGTCCACTTTTCAATCCATCTTTTAGATAACACACTTGTTCGAACGGCGTCTTTTGTAGGAAGAAACGAGAGAATGCGAGTTATAAGTGATTCCGGTAGGTTGCTGATTATATCATCCTTTGCTTTTGCTTTGTGCTTCTTATGAGTTGATGAACCAACAAACTCCATCGTCCCTACAACAGTAACCCTAGGACTATTTTTCTGCATTTTCAAAACACTATCAAGTATCAAAACAATATGATCGATCATGCATGCATGCATAGCATGTTCTTACATAATCAGAAATTTCAAAGCAAAGCATAAAAACTGAATCTCACCGAAATGACTTAAATGGAAACATGCAATCTTAAAAACATAAGTGGGGTTGGAAAGAAAATGATGATACTCACCTTGTTTACCGTTGATTCACGGTTACAGCTTTCTCATTGCAAGTTTTCTGCAATTTTTCTCCGCTTCCCCTATTACTCCTGTTTGGTTTTTATTTTATAAAGGCAGAGAGCTTCACCAAAGTGGCAGTGATGTAAGGTAGTTTCTGGGAGATTTGCCTAATGTCTCTCTCTCTCTCTCTCTCTTTTATATATATATATATATATATATATATATATATATATATATATATATATATATATAAAATCACCACTTCAAATATTTTATTGTACAAAGTGAGAATTATAATTATTTTACTTAGGGTGTGTTTGGTTCGGGGTAAATGGAGGGGAGGGGAGGGAAAATTTTTAATTAAATATGTTTGGTTCAAATCTTAGGAGGGGAAGGGAACAAAATCTCTCCAAAACACGTTTTTTGGTTCCTCCGAATTGGGGAGATTTAGAAGGGAGGAGAAAGAATATGAGTTTTGATATTTACTAAAATATTCTCAATTTAATTTCAGTATTTCAAAACTATTTGTTTTCTTTCGTGTTACAGTTTTTTCTCGATTGTTTCCATCAACTTATTATAATTGTTCTCCACCTTCAAATTATTTTATAATTTCTATACTTAATATAAATTATAATCATCGTCTTTTTTTTATAAAAAAAAATTATGTTTAGTTATATTCGTTTTTTTCTTTTGATTTTGTTAAGTATTCTATCATATTTTCTTTTATATCAAATTGTAAACCATTCATTTTATTTATGTTTATTTATTCATTTTATTAAATATTTTGAACCATTAATATTTAATAATAAATTATTTATATATTTGTTTTGTTATATGATTCACCACAATTTAAACGATGTTATTGGCATATAGTTTAATTTATATTGAAAAGTTATAAGTCGAATCAATTGTACTCAATTTTTTTACTTTATGTGACAAATAAATACTTTTTTAATCACTCAATATTAAAAAATTTATTACCAACAAAAATGCGCATGAATTTTTCACATTTTAATATCATATAACTTATATAAGATCATAAGGATAAAGTTGTAAATTATTAATAAACCTCTCCCCTCCTCTTCTGAACCAAACACATTTTTAATTAAAATCTCTCCCTTCCCCTCCTCTCCTCTCTTTTGAACCAAACACTTATCTGATTAAAAAATTCTTCACCTCCCCTCCCCTCCCCTTCATTAAAATCCCTCCCCTCCCCTCCCCCTCAATTGGCACCTGCATTGAAATGCTGAAATGCAAGACCTTGTCTCGTGTGCTTAAATTTTTGCCCGACAAATAGAGCAAATAAGTTTCATTTTTAATAAAAATTCAAGCAAACATTTTTTATGAAACGTATGTCCACAAGACAGGCTATTAAGTATTTCTTCATTTTCAAATTCATATGCGCAAATCATACATTGATTTTCTTCATGTTGAAGAGGGATAGACGAGTCAAACGTTGATTCTCTTACTCTCTCTTTAAGTATTTAAATAACAGCTTGTTTATGTCAATACCCCCTTGCTATGTATTGTTATACTTTTCAACATAAATTAAACTATATGCCAATAACATCGTTTAAATTATGATGAATCATATAACAAAGCAAATATATAAATAACTTATTATTAAATATTAATGGTTCAAAATATTTAATAAAATGAATAAACAAACATAAATAAAATGAATGGTTTACAATTTGATATAAAAGAAAATATGATAGAATACCTAACAAAATCAAAATAAAAAAACGAATATAACTAAACATAATTTTTTTTATAAAAAAAAAGACAATGATTATGATTTATATTAAGTATAGAAATTATAAAATAATTTGAAGGTGGAGAACAATTATAATAAATTGATGGAAACAATCGAGAAAAAACTGTAACAGGAAAGAAAACAAATAGTTTTGAAATACTGAAATTAAACTGAGGATATTTTAGTAAATATAATAATTTTTAAATATCAAAACTCATATTCTCTCCCCTCCCCTCCCCTCCAAATTTCCCCAATTTAGGGAACCAAAAAATGTGTTTTGGAGGGATTTTGCTCCCCTCCCCTATTCTCTTCTCCTAAGATTTGAACCAAACATATTTAATTAAAAAATTCTCCTCTCCTCCCCTTCCCTCCATCTACCCCGAACCAAACACACCCTTAGGAAAAATAAATTGAGTTAATATATAAAAAAAAAGGTTAAATTGCAAATTTTATTCTCATCTTACTCTAGTCATAAAATTATTTTTTTTATTTTGTTTTTAAATAAAAAAAAAGGTTAAATTATAAATTTTATTCTCATCTTACTCTAGTCATAAAATTAATTTTTCTATTTTATTTTTAAATATTTTTCGTCTTATTCTTATTTTTGGTCAAAATGTGATGATGTATTATTTTTTTATATATAATGTGTCAAAAATTGATAATCTGATTGTATTAAATAGCACATATCATATAATATTTACTCCCTCCATTCCTTTGTAAGTGTTATTTTTGGAATAATTTTTTTGTTTCTTTTTAATGGTCACTTATAAAGTTCAAGGTAGTATTAAATGCATTTTTATCAAAATTATCTCTAGATAATTATGAAAAGTAACCATATTAATTAATTTTTTTATTATATGTAAAAAAATTCAAAAAGGACACTTGAGGGAGTAATATTTATTTGAAAAACATTAATTAAAAAAAATTAATGTTTGTCATATTCAATAATTTTTTTTATAGTAAAAAGTAATTTATAAATTTTTTCAAATTTATTTTCTTCTTCCAATCATTCATCCCTTCCATTTTCTTCCATCCCCATTGTCATAAATATACAAGATTAGAAACCACTATATTCTCTTCTTCCATTTTCATTTATCCTCATTGTTATATAAATACACAAGATTAAAAACCACTGTATTTTCAACTAGCAGGACAAAGATTTAAAAACGAGGAAAGAAACTCACCTCTATCCTCACTACTACAAATTACATTTTTAACATCGCATGCGAAAAATATGTAACATCGACTACCGAGTCATTAACGAATGGTAACATAAAAAAATGTCACTTAACACCTCGGTTAATTAAAAATCAAGGGATATTTTATTTGATAATGAGTTTGAACCCAACATCTACATTTTAATTATTTACAAAGTTGGGTGGCGCGCCCAACATAACATCGCAGTTTTATTTAAAAACTGAGGGGTGTTTTTTTTATTTATATTTTCATTTGTACCTAAACCATATTTTGTAAATTTATGAAACAGAAATGTTGTATCTACATTACAAAATCATATCATAGAAGAACAATTGTTTTGAAGAAATGCAAAGTCAAAATTGGACAAACCTTATAATTTTACAACAAAATTAAAATCAAATGATTAACCAACAAAAGCAATTACCAAAATGGAAAGTCTTGTAGATAGTTCAAAAGTTTTATGCTAAGATTTATCACCGGTCATTAAACACCTATAATTTGAACAACAATTTAAACAAATTAGAATAATCAACAACAACATTAAATCTTTAGTAAAAGGAATAAAAAAGAGTAAAATGAATAATTATAAATTACTAAGTGATATAAAACATTTACTTACTAGTTTTCACATATTCCCTCTTTATGATCACGACGAATAGCATACGCATCATCTAAATCATTTTCTTCAGATGATTGACGTACATGTGTTACGAAACAAGGGGTCTTGTAGTCAACATCTTGATTTTCAGCAGGAAGATATTTTTCTTAAAGTACAATTGACCATCTAGTGTTAGAAGGATTAGTGACATGAAAAACTTGTTTTTCTTGGATTGCCATGATGAATGGTTTGTTCTTATAAGTTGTCTTTTGAAGATCAACTTGTGTCAATCCTAATTCATTGGTTTCTACACCAGTGTTAATGTCAATCCACTTGCACTTAAATAAAGGCACTTAAAAAGAAACATAATCAATCTCCATAATCTCCTCAATGAAACAAAGTACGCTCTAGATGCTAGTACATGATTGTTATCTTTGGCACTAGAGAAGTACATGGATTCAGCTTCAACCATAATCCCACTATTTTGTATGGTACTACGATCATCCTTTGTATAGAATTAATATCTAGTAACTTCGTATGCACTCCAAGTAATTACATTAAACTAAGGCATACATAACAACAATTTAATTGTCTTCGATGAACTACTCTCTTTAGAAACACTTTCTTTAAACCAAATTATGAAAATTCTGTTATGCTCTGTCAACAATCATTTTTCATTCATCTGACGGTATTTTTCCTTTATAAGACTTTTGTGAGCGATCAAGTAAGGTTGAACTTCATCAAGGTTATTCAATATATACAAATGTGCTTGAAGAATTACATCTCAGCTAAGAGTTTTAACATTTAAATCTTGAGTACCTCTACCATCATATCTTCCCTCATGATCTGACTCGAGAATTCCTATAGAGTTAGCTTTTGACAAATACATTGTACAAAACTCAATAACTTTTTCTGTGATGTACCGTTCAACAATCAAAGCTTCCAGACGATGATGATTCTTTGTATACCCTTTAAAGTTCTTCATTTAACGCTCTACGGGATACATCCACCGTAAATAAACTGGATCACAAATTTTAATCTCCCTTACTAGATGAACAACTAAGTGAACCATAATGTAAAAGAATTATGGAGGGAAAAACATCTCTAATTGACACAAGATAATTGCAATCTCATATTCTAACTCATCTAAATTTTCAGGATCAATGACTTTACTACATATAGCATTGAAGAGTAAGTACAACCTGGTAAAATGAGAGATAAAACTTTTAATTTAACCTATTTTTTTATATTAAAATTACTTTACACTTTTACGTTACA